TTGTCTTCAGACATCCTGGTGAACTTCTATCGCTGCACCATCGAGAGCATCCTGACCAACTGTATAACAGTCTGGTATGGGAACTGCTCCGCCTCGGACCGGAAGGCGTTGCAGAGGGTCGGAAAAACTGCCCAGCACATCGCCGGAGCACCACTTCCTGCCATAAAGGACATCTACAGGAAGCGGTGTCTGAAAAGGGCAGGGAAAATCATCAGAGACCGCAGTCACCCATCACATGCACTGATCACCCTGCTGCCCTCTGGGAGGCGCTACAGGAGCCTCCAGACTAAGACCACCAGGTACCGGAACAGTTTCTTCCCAACAGCTGTCAGACTCCTGAACTCTGCCTCCTGACATATGACCCACGTTAAACTCATGGACTGCTTGTATTAACTACAGCCTGTACATACTTATAGTCATAGAATATTCATAACATACTTCATACCGTGTACATTATAACATACGTAATAGATCCATTTCTGTAATATATGTACACATCTATATTATTGCTAATATATATTGTAATACATCTATATCACGGCTAAAGCACTTCTGGATGGATGCAAACTGCATTTCGTTGCCCTGTACCTGTACATGTGCAATGACAATAAAGTTGAATTCTATTCCAATTCTATTCTATTCAAAAGTCCTTTTTGTTTGTCATGGGTCAGCGGTGGAAGAGAGCAGGCAGAACTGAGACAGACATTAGACAAAATAAAAATAAAATTTGAAATGTTTATTTACTCCTTGATGTAAGCTTACTATCTTGCTGCGGATGTGGCTGTTGTTCTGTTTGGTTTGTCTTTCTTTATCAGACCACCAGAGGTCACACGTATCTTCTTCTCTAGTCCTCATCCTGCAACACATCTCACCTCAGTAAATGCGTCGTTCACCTGGTTACCCACAGCTTATTACCACATCATCCCCTCGTCTTAATCTTTTGGGAAACCTAGTGAAAAGTAGCTGGATCTTTTAATGTTGGTTTGTTTTTGATTCGAATAAACATCTTTCACTCTTTTTCCACTGTGACTGATTTAACTGAGGATAAATCTGCTTAATTGTGCACTGGTGTCTGCTCTTCAGTCTTGTTTTACACCACTTGATCTACAAGAATGAACACGTGACAAATTAAGACAATTATATTTAAAAAACAAAAACTATCCTTTTGTGGAAAATCCTCCAACCTCATGTTTAAATTCAAGAAGAGTGTGGTGAAGGTGCTGCTACATCATACAGTGAATGTGGCCACCAGGTGGAGTGGTTGGCTTTAAAACGGTGTCATCTCAAGGTCACTGCAGCAGGACTTCCGCACGCTTCCTCATATTGATGATCGCACTGCGCAGCTGCAGAAACTCATCAGAAGGGTCTGGCTTGCATCAGGATGTCGGTTTTTAGGGGGAATCCACATACGGCTCATGTTATGACTCGTTGTAATGTATGAATACTCACTTGTGTCATTTAGTTATTACTTAATGCTCTAAGGCTAAATAAAAGCATCAGCATAAATGCCTCTGTTTACAGCAATAGTGATTACCACTTCCGGAATGTATTTCCATAAAAATCACCAACTAGTTAAACTGCTACATTTTAAACGACTATTTTAAAGGTGAGCTGGAGTCAGTAAGGTGCAGCAGTGGGGGATTTTTGGACCCAAATATTACTCATCCTTGTTTCCTGCTGTATAAAACTACACTCGCCCTGATGCCATTCATTTGATGGAAGGTTTGATGAGCAGAGGAAAGTCACTGCCAGGAAGTGTGACCACAGCAGACACGCGACTAACCACGAAACACTGCTGCGGAGATCCCTGCCTGCTTCTCTGCACGTACTCATCTATGCGTCACCTTTGCTTTTCTTCGCGGCCCTGGTGTGTGGCAAGCCGTTTGACCATATAATCAAACGAAATTCCTATTTATGAGTATGTTTACGATATGACTTATTATCTTCCTCTGGATTGAATAACATTTATTTTGTAGTAGAAAAATACACTCAAGATTCCGTTGAGATGGGAAGGATGAGCTCGGAGCTTTCTCACTGGTATCGTTTTTGTTCAGGAGATTAAAGACCACAATCAGAGTTAGAACCGTAAACAAAAGAACATTTTCAAAAATTTGGATGACAAATTTTAAATGTTTTTCTCCATAAAAACACCATTATTGACTCTGATTCCAACATGGCAGCCCCTGTGAACAAGACGTTTCCTTAAAAAAAACCAAATGGTGCTATATTTTTGTGCACTTCTAAAATGTGAAGAACCAGGTGTTATCTGACCAGACGTGTGGATTTGCATAAACACGTATGCCAGCAGGTCATAAAGCATCGCAGAATGTTAATCACCTACTGGTTAAATCAGCTGTATTGAAGCAGAGAAACCTTCAAAAAATGCCAGATGAGCTCAAGGACCATGATTTGACACCATTGCACTTGTGACTCTGAAACTGATGTTTCACTTACATCTGATGATAAATGATAAATGACCCACACTTGTAGAGAACCTTTCAGAGTCAGATGACTCCAAATCGCTTCACACTACAGTGTATCATTCATCTATTCACGCACACACATTGACACGCTGATGGTGACGAGCTACAACGTAGCCACAGCTACCCTGAGAAAACACTGATGGAGGGGAGGGTGCAGAGCACAGGTGCCACCAGTCCCTCCAACCAGCAGGCAAGGTGGGTTAAGTGTCTTGCCCAAGGATATGACAGCAGCACTCTCTGTCATGAGCCGGGATTGATCTCATAACCCTCTGATTTCATGATAACCTACGTCCAGAGCTACCGCTGACCCATGAACAAAAGTAAAAACATAAAAAGTTTAAAAATATTTAAAGTGTACCCTCCTTTTTGTTTTTGGCCATATTATAACCCAGGAAGAATGACCTATAATGTTTTTAAAATGTTGACTGTGAATGGGAAAAATGGTTTTCATGTTAGTGAACTAGACCAGTGGTTCCCAACCTTTTTCCCAAGGGACCCCGTTTTTTACCAGTAAAACTTTTGATGACCCCCTCCTATTCTCTCTTCCAGTACAAACATTATTAAGAAATGATAAAATTGTTCAAGCACATTTTAATATGCTTTGATTCAATAGATAACAGTAATAGTAGGCTCCAGTACAGAACAAAGTCATTAACAAAACCAAACAGAGCATAATGTGCTTGACAGTTTGTATTACTTTTCTGAAAACATTGTTTCTTGTAAACACGGATAAATCAATCATTCCTTTCAATAAACGTTAAAAAATACACTGAGAAAAATGTACTTAAATGTGTATATTACTGTTTATACTAGATTATTTACTGTAAAGGCTGTGATTAATCAACCAGTCCTATCTTTAATGAACTTTTGACACTTGAAAATAAAACAGTGAGCTGAGCAAAATGTTCTTAAAAGTGTGTTACTTTTTCTGTACTAATTATTTCCTATCTTAATATCAGTAAACTTTTCACTCATGAAAAAAAATGTGAGCAAAATGTAGGCTATAAACAAGTAATAAATGAAGTTTTAACCCCTTAAAGTGGAGAGGTCCTGGCGACCCACTGAGAGGCTTTGGCGCCCCCTTGTGGGGGTTGGGACCCCCAGATTAGGAACCACTGAACTAGACCAAATTCTTGCTTTGCAAAGTTTGGTCTAGGAATGCTCCACTGGAACCTCTGCAGCCCCTAACAGCATTCTGGCTGGCCAATCACAGCTCTCTAGAGGGGTTTCAAACACACAAAGAGCTGTGATTGGTCCATAATGGTGGGCCAATCGTAGTGCTCTATCTGCTTAGCAGGGGTGGACTGGGACCAAAATTCGGCCCTGGCATTTTTACGAATCGTCGGCCCTCCCCATTGGGAGAGCGTTGGGGGTGGGGGATGTTGCCGCCCGTGGACTCGTCTCTAGGCCGAATGAGAGTTCTAATATGAACTGGGACTGTTAAATTACAAGCATGGGCAGACCGCTGCGACTGGGAGCCCTGGCCTTCTAGATCAGCTCATTCCCCATGGGCGGAGATCAGCGGGACATTAGCTACATGCTAAAGCGGTAAAACAACTTATACGTCATCGCTCTACCGCGTTTTTCTAGCTAAAAATGACTGGAAAAACTCTGGTAGCTTCAGGTTTTCATATAGCTAATGTTCTGCAGATCACCAACTGTGAAGTGGTGTCGGCCCAAGCAGGGTAAGCAGCCCACTTGGCTAAGTGGCCCACCGGGACAGTGCCAGAATGCTAGATAGGCCAGTCCACCCCTGCTGCTTAGTGAACAAATCACAGAGCTTTATCCGCTTTGTGGGCCAATCAGGGCACTCTATATGCCTGGTGGGTGGGATGATGCAACAGAGAGAAACAAGAGTATGTCACATTCTTTGTCCAGTAGCATGCGGCGATCATTTGAAAGACAACGGTAGAACCCACCCCACAACCGAGAGCCGTCAATGGAGCGTTGCCAGACTAAATAATACATTTATTTAGTCTGGCTTGCCAGGCTAAGTGAAATGTTCAATTTGACTAGAAACCATCCATCCATTTTCAGTCGCTTACCCGAAGTCGGGTCCCAGGGGCAGCAGCCTAAGCCGGTACGCCTAGACTTCCCTCTCCCCAGCTACTTGAGCCAGCAATTCCGGAGGAATACCCAGGCGTTCCCTGCCAGCCGAGAGACATAGTCCCTCCAGCGTGTCCTGGGTCTTCCCTTGGGTCTCCTCCCAGTTGAACGTGCCCGGAAAACCTCACTTGGGAGGCGTCCAGGAGGCATCCTGACCAGATGCCCAAGCCACCTCAGCTGGCTTCTCTCAACATGGAGGAGCAGCGGGTCTACTCCTAGCCCCTCCCGGATGACCGAGCTTCTCATTCTATCTCTAAGCCACCCTGAGGAGAAAAATCAAAGCAATTTGGCTAATTGCTATATGGCAAAATGGCTTGCCATATAGCTGTATTCAATCAGCTTCCTACCTCTAGCTGAAGCCTATAATTCCCATAATTCATTGTTTGAGAGCGCTTCTCATCTCTGCGCTCCTGTAGGGATGCTTTTTTAATCAGAAAAGCCGCATCCTCCTGCCCTTCATACGGGTCCTCTAACTCCTATTAGTGAACGTGCGCTCCTCCTCGCGCTCCTCTACGTAGTGTCTCTCTTCCAGCCAATAGCGTCGCACCGTTCCTGATTCCGACCACTTATCTTCCAGCTCACAGGGTCACGAGCGCCTTCTCTGCCTGCTTACCCGAGAGACTGAGCACCGTCCTTGCACACAGTTAGGCCGGAAAAGGTAACCTTTACCGTTGTTTTTCTCCTTTCCTCCTGTTTTTCTTCGATTAACAAACATTTTAAAGCTTCGTGTGGTTATTGTTAAGCCGAGTGTGCTAATAAAATCACTTTACTGCTTTTTAAAATTACTACACGATGGGTTTCCTCTTAAACGAAATCCTCCGCGGTTTGTCCTTGTCGGTGCTAGCTAACTGTCGAATATTTTGGTAGCTCGATCACGTTTGATTCCTTCATCTTGCTGTTGTATTCAGCAGGATGGAGCGATTTCTTTAACTCGTCGTCTATTTTTAAACAACGCCGTCAGCTGGCGAGATATCTCTCCATTTAGAGCTGAAGTGTGTGAAGGGGAATGGGGTGTCCGGTTGCAAGGCCACCTTGCAGCAGACCGTGTTTTTCATTTTGACGAGGAGCCATTATTTGTGACCCTCTTGTTTCGAATAGGAAATTCAAAGCCACTCGTTTTTTTGACCACCGGTTGCTTGCAGCATACACGGAGGTGTGTCCACCGTGTCAGGGAAAATTACTGAGGGGGAACAAGCCTGCACGGGCGTCTGGGTTTCCTTCATTCTCCCAAGCTAATGAGTCCTGTGAGGATTCTTGCATCTTTATTAGGACAATCAGAGAAAACGCTGTAAGTCCAGTAGAGGAGTTATTTTATGCTTTAAAACTAACTAAATAATCCACATCTAACCCAGTATGAAGTAATGATGTCTCGAATTAACTGATTTACCAGCTGTAAAATAATTGTTCTGGATTATTCACGCATTTCTGTCTTGCATTGAGTAATGATCAGAAAATGCACATTTATTTCAAGACGGGTTGTCTGTGGCTGAATGGATAACATGTTGCTAAAGGGGGGACATTTACAGGAGTGGTTCACAAATAATCCAAATAGTCAAGGGTTTTGCATGTTCGTAGTAGTTAACCTGCTACAAAATTTGGTCTGCATATGTTTGTATTTTAAATATTTTAATGAAAAATAAAGTCCCACACACTTAATAATAAAACAGCCAAACTCTGGGATAATGGTTTATCTAAAACTGATCTTATTCGTGAACCGTTTCACAAAGTGATCCTGAAGATTTGTGCTAACGTTACGGCACATTTGGGGACTAAGATTTGGTCGTTTAAATTTTAAAGCTTTGAGTTTTGATACCCAGTCTTAAAAAAACACTTCCTCTGTGAATTTGTCTGTGGCACATTTCCACACAAACTTTTAAGGATTGCCTTTTCCATTAGTTTTAATTAAGCTGCACTCACGCTTGACTTTGCAGAATATGAATTTAGGGCGAGTTGAGTAGAACAAACACAATAATCAATATAAAACTGCAGGCGTCATGGCCCAGACAGTCTGGCATTACACTGTTTGACTTCCACTGCAGAAATGGAGGTGACAAAAGCTCTGAGATTAAGCCTGCAGTCTGTATCAGAGCGAAGCTTGTTACAAAAAAGGCCAAACATTGCACTGGTGCCAAATCACGTTCCTATTTTGCACATTTACGCTTAAATATTGATATTGTTGCATAATTCTTGACTTTACTGGGGCAAACATTTTGCAAACTATTTCACAATCGGAAGTGGTTTGTGAACTCAGTTGACCTGCAGAGAATTTTCTAGTGCTGCAGAAGCCACACCCCGCCCCGACTGAAGCAACAATCATTCTGTTCGGATCACATCAGTCTGATAGTGTGCAGGTCTCATTTATTTTAGTTTTCAAGAAGATTTACAGCTGATCAATATTTCCCCAGACTCCTTTTTCACATTGAGTTTTATTGTAGGTGTGCTGCAGAGCATTTATATTTTTTGCCAAGTCACTGTTCACTGGACCATTAAGTATGCGAGTGCCCCTGTAGGGAGGCCTGAATGGTTGCAGTATCGGTAATGAAATTTGCTCTCGTTTTTGCAGGAGATCTGTAACAATGTCCATCCTGAAGATTCACGCTCGTGAGATCTTTGACTCTCGTGGAAACCCCACCGTAGAGGTCGATCTGTACACCAAGAAAGGTTTGTAAGAGCTCTTATGATTTTCTGTACAACCTTCAGGTGCTGAATGACTTCCTCCTTAGACATGGGTAGTTTAGTTGTTTATTTTTTGAATCATTTAATCAGAATTGGTGATTTTTCCATTAAACCTGAATATTTTATGAAGTTTTAGGCTCATCTTTCTTTTCATAGTTTACTTGATCAATCTGGGGAAAAATACAAACTTCCTAGTTGTTCTGCAAGTTTGAATTTTCAGTGCAATCAGAATGTCTTACTTTGCTAATTCATAATTTGTTATTCCCCCTGAAACATACAAAAGTGGATATTTAGGTCAGGTTTGTGCTTGGTTACTGCTGCTGGCCCAGAGTGGATGGCATTCATGAATGTGTGAAAATAGCTGCTGTAACTTGACATGACCTCCACAGCTCACAGCTACTGTAATGGTTCCTGTTTGGGAGCACACAGCTCATACAGTACACATCAGTAGCAAACCACATCAGCTGACTATTACAATTCAAATGACTAGAAACCTCCTCTTCTGAAGTGATGTAAAATTAGCTTCTCTGGATTATGTGACTATGCTGCCTAGAAGTCATCTGTACTCTTTTGTACGAGTCCTCTAAGGTCTGGATCAATTCATTTCATAATGACCCATGGTTTTATTTATCTGTTTTGTTAAACTAAACAAAGGGTTTGCTCGACTTGCTTGACACATCCTGAGAATGTTAATGAAGCAACCTGAATGGTCACTGACCTGGAAGTGAGTGAAACTGGTCAGTGTCCTGAAAACGCTGTCTGGCTGTTCTGCAGCCATCTCTTCGTGAGTTTGGCTGGTTGTTGAGTGCTCTGTTTACTGTAAATGTCTGATTTCTTTTTGCACAAGATTCCCTTTTAAGTCCAGCAGCCCAGCTTTGACATCATTAACGGCGAATGTCTGTTTTTCCCAGAGGTTATTAGGTTTTTGCTCTGTTAGATGTTTACACCCACTGATCCTGTGTGGTGGGGTAAGAATTTTATTAAAATTTTGTGACTAAGTGCATTTGTTCTGCTAATGAATCTTTTGCTGTACTTTGAAACTTGGCAGCTAGTGTGGGATAGCACTTGATTGTGGGCCTGATGGGCCGCTGCCAGCATCCTCCTGCTGCCAGCTGGTGTGGAGCTGCAGATGATTTGTCAAGCATTAACTGGGCCCGGGCAGTGGCTGTGTCCCATGCCCTAAGCACTAAATCCCCTTACTCATCATCTTTGCTGCTCCACTGAGCAAAATGGAAAAACTTATTTTCAATATTTTTTTAGTTTCTATTCACTCTTGGGACCCAACAATGACTATCCTCTTATGTGGGCGTGGTTTAGTATCATGCCACAAATTCACTGCACATGCTCCGTTGACTCCGTCTTTCCTCTGCAGCAGAGCCGGCACAGCTCTCCCCCTGTTTTCTCCCTTTTAGGGAGCAGATGAAATCCTCTAGTGCTTTCTACTCACTAGTTTGGTGTAAAGCTGCAATTGTACAACAACTAGTGATTTCTCATACCGTCTAATTCAACAGCGACAGTATTTTTTTTTATTTTAAAGAATCCCCTTTATCTCTTTAGGTCTTTTCCGAGCTGCAGTTCCCAGTGGTGCTTCCACAGGTATTTACGAGGCTTTGGAGCTTCGTGACAATGACAAGACGCGCTACATGGGCAAGGGTAAGATATTTCCATGAGTATTTTACCCTTTCTAATCTATTTCCTTTTGCTATCTTTTAGGACATTTCAACACTTCTGTAAATCCCATCTTTCTTTATTTCCTCATTTCTGTTCTTCCCGTTAGGAGTCAAAAGAGCAGTTAAATATATAAATGAGTTCTTGGCCCCTGCATTATGTAACCAGGTAAATAAAGTGTGCAAAACGGGTTGACTTGACAGAAAGCCGTGCACAGCAGCATGAAGAGTTTGCTTTTAGAGACTAACGTTGGTCAAGCATGAACAGATGTTCACGGATCATATATGAAGCAAAATTGTCAAAAGATTTTAGTGCAATAAATGACTCCTCCATTCACATAAAATGAAATGCTCTGTGGGCATCTGTCTGGCCTGCTTTGCATGGTCCTGTCTGAGTCAGTCATGGTCTGCTTGTCCCTTGCAGGTGTCTCAAAAGCAGTTGAGCATATCAATAAAACTATTGCACCTGCACTGGTTAACAAGGTAGGACCAATTATTGTTTGACTAACTTCTGTGTGCTAACGTCAAAAACTTTAAATTGGTTAATGCTTTATTAAATATATTCTGAAAACTGCTACATTTGATGAGATTGATGTGAACGCATTTTAGCAGCACTTTGTTCCAGACCCTATCCTCCTGCTCCTCCTGTCTGGGTATTTTTTGTCCTAACATTAAATAAATATGTACATGAAACTTAATGTTTGCACAGTTCTGGTGGTAACATTGTCAGATGCTGAAACAGAACTTTTTTTGTTTTTAATTTGAACAATTTGATTTCTGTTTAATTTGCCCTATTATGTTTTAATCCAGGATGTGAGCGTTTTGGAGCAGGAGAAGATCGACAAGCTGATGTTGGACATGGATGGCACAGAAAACAAGTGTAAGATTCTACAAAAACTTCTTCTATAGGACTCCGTAAACAAATTATACCATTGATTTATCGGTAAATATTACTGATATTAAATAAAACTTTGGACTGAAATATGTTTATTCTTCCTTCAGCTAAGTTTGGGGCTAATGCCATCCTGGGGGTCTCCCTGGCTGTGTGCAAGGCTGGTGCAGCAGAGAAGGGCGTTCCCCTCTACCGCCACATCGCTGACCTTGCTGGCAACCCTGAAGTAATTCTCCCTGTCCCCGTGAGTATTGATCCAAAATACTGGGTTGCAGGTGGTTTGCACACGTTAAACAAAGGAATGTTGGACCGAAAATCTTATCATTGACTCCCTGTTTCCTTTCAGGCCTTCAACGTCATTAATGGCGGCTCCCATGCAGGCAACAAGCTGGCCATGCAGGAGTTTATGATCCTGCCAGTTGGAGCCAGCAGCTTTAAGGAGGCCATGCGGATCGGAGCTGAGGTTTACCACAACCTGAAGAATGTCATCAAGGAGAAATATGGCAAAGATGCCACCAATGTGGGAGATGAGGGTGGCTTTGCCCCAAACATCCTGGAGAACAAAGAAGGTGTGAGAAACAGTACTGTTGCAGAGCAACACAGCCGTGTTCACTGGATTCATTTAATTGGGAACATTTTATTCGAGTTTCCTCTGTAATTTGGTTTTGACAGCCCTGGAGCTGCTGAAGAATGCCATCGCCAAGGCCGGCTACACTGATAAGATCGTCATTGGCATGGATGTGGCTGCTTCTGAGTTTTACAAGGGTGGCAAGTATGACCTGGACTTCAAGTCCCCTGATGACCCTAGCCGCTACATCACCCCTGACCAGCTGGCTGATCTCTACAAGGGCTTTGTCAAGGACTATCCAGGTTGGTTTTTGAAAATTACAACTTTCTTCAGACAAACAAAAGCGCAAAGTGAACTAGATCAGTCTTATTGTCCAATACATCCGTCTAACATTTTTTTATTCTGCTTTTTCATCTTTCTGTTCTTAGTGGTTTCCATTGAAGATCCCTTTGACCAGGATGACTGGGCAGCATGGACCAAATTCACAGGCAGCACCAGCATCCAGGTGGTGGGCGATGACCTCACCGTCACCAACCCCAAACGCATCTCGAAGGCAGTCGATGAGAAATCCTGCAACTGCTTGCTGCTGAAGGTCAACCAGATCGGCTCGGTCACAGAGTCTCTGCAGGCGTGAGTGCCCACAACATGGCTGACCGCCACCACAACACTGCCACGATTCAAGGCGGTAAACATAACGGGGCTCCTCTTTATTTCAGCTGCAAGATGGCGCAGAGCAACGGCTGGGGTGTTATGGTCAGCCACCGCTCTGGAGAGACGGAGGACACCTTCATCGCTGACCTTGTGGTTGGCCTCTGCACTGGACAGGTGGGATTTTTTTTATTTATCTTTTTTAACAATGGCTTTTTCATAATTTTTGAAGTTGTAACTATAAATGGCTCTCTATACGATTGCAGATTTGGATCTAAAATGTTTATTTTTTCTCCACCCACGTAGATTAAGACTGGTGCTCCTTGCCGGTCTGAGCGTTTGGCCAAGTACAACCAGCTCCTCAGGTGAGTCTGCCCCCAAAACACACACCGCTCATAGCACTTGATCCCATAAATGGCATGAAACCAAAACCTGACCTTCTTGCAGGATTGAGGAGGAGCTTGGTGACAAGGCCCGTTTTGCCGGACAGAACTTCAGGCACCCCATCTGAGCGGGCCTTCTTCCTCGGGCCACTGCGTGTTCATTGCTCATAATCTCCACACATGTACGCCACGTTAGGTCTCCTGCCGTATATGGAGAGGAGAAGAAGAAACCTCTGTAGTCCAAGGTCCAATCTGTGGCATTGAAGCGACACTACATCCTGGTGCAGCCACGGCTCAGCTCATCCTGAAACCATGCTTTAGCTCCCGTTATAGTGTTGGTCTCTGTGTTTGTGTCCGTGTTGCTTTGTGTGAGATTTCTTTAAGCTTCTTGTGAGTTGTAGTGATCTTGGTCCTGATTATTTGAGCAACTGTAACTTTAGTAAGGTTCTGCCTTATAAGCGGTGGTAAGAGTACTGTGTGTGCAATGTTGCATCCGATGAGGTCTTGTGTTGTAACTGTTGGCAGAAATATATAATAAAATAATATAGTTTCAAAGGTTTTCCTTGTGGTTTTTATTTGCATAAAAAATCCTACATGTGACTTCAGCACTAAACCCATTTAAGGCACTGAAGTAATAGAGTTTGACAAACTGTAGAAAACCTCACCCTGGGTTAGGTTCTGCTTCTGTGAAATGTAATCTGGGATGGAAACACGAGCTGAGTGCTGTGACATGAAATTTCCATTAATCCCCTGGGTGAAAGAATCGCGCCTCGTTTTACACAAAGCCTTTAGAGGATAAATGATGGTCTATCCATCAGTGTTATGGTACCTCAGCTGTTTGCCAGCTGGGTTTGTGCCACACAATTTACTTTGAGCCCTTTCTTAACCTACATCCATTGTTTAATCATCACCTAGGAGATGTTCTACAAATTGCTGGCGTAGAAACGATCCCAATCACGCAGAGGCTTCTACAGATGACTGAGCTGCTGCAGGTTTGTTGTATGAAAAATAAACTCGAACACTGAAACTATAAAACAACCCAGCTGGATTTTAAACCAGTGCTGCATCATGGGTTAAACACTACTCAGTAGGACAGCCAGAGTAAAATTTGAGATTTGCGCCATCTTGTGGTCATATTAAGCGCATCTTCACATTTAAAACACGTTTTGTACACCTGACCTAAGTTGCTGAATGAGTACAAAAGTAGATTCACAAACTCTAATCAAAGTGCATGCCAATTGTTTTTCAACTCACCTGTTTGAGGTGCTAATGTAATATTTTAAAGGCCTTTTAAAAAACAAAGATTGCTACCACCTTGTGTAGAGTGGCTGCTTAATGCGCATGAGTCATATTGCTGTAAAAGCGTATTAAAATTTAGATAATCTACTCTTTTCTGTGGCTAAACAAGTAATTTTGATAAATGTATTACAGCTGCACTTCACTTCAGAAAACATGTTTATTTTTACATTTTTTTAAATGAATTTGTACTTTACTAATACTTTTACAAAGTATAGCACACTCATTACTGACGTTAGCTCTGTGTGACATTCTGCAATCACTGATCATTATTGTTCCTATTCTAATAAGAATGTTCATCTTCATTTATGGTTGTTTCCAATACTATAATATTTTTTTTTCAATTCAGCCTATTTAGGGAGATGGGTTTTGATATTCACTTACAAAATTTGTTATAATTTTAATGTATTGTTTTTACTTTGAGCTACTAATTGGTCAAAAACGAGGTCTGTTTATTTACATTTATACGATCCTACAAATTTTTATTTACATGTACCCACCAAGAGATTTAAAACACACACACACTATGCAAAAGCTCTGGTCCAAAGAGCATATATTCTATTCAACTTTGTAAAGCTGTTTTGCCTTTTTCATGTAAAATAAAAAATACAAACGTTTTCATGTTTTAACCTGCACGACGTTCCCAGTTTTGGCCAGTCGGGGGCGATATTTCACCAGTTGAACTTTGAGAATCCCCAACTGCTCTCACCCCAAGATGAAGAAGGATGCTGTCATGCTGAGTGCCTCTCACACACATTAGTCTGAGCATCCCGGCAACGATTAGTCCCTCTTTAAAATCTCAAGTCCATCATTTATGACAGCATTACATCAAACGTGGTTTGCTCCGCTTTAGCTCTATAAGAGCAGACATACAGGTGGCACTGCAGGTGTGCTGCTCTGTGCAGAGGCAACACTAACGTTGGCTAATTGCCTCTGCTGCTGCTTCTGCTGCTGCTGCTTTTGTTTGTTGTTGCAGTCTCTCATCAAACACATCACAGATGTTGTAGATCAAGCCTTTTAAGGTAAGTGTTGGGAGCTGCAGTCAGCTTCTTTACCTTTGACATTCACGACCAAACGAGTAAAAAGAAACAGCAAAATGTGAAAGAGTAGTTTGTAAACGCTGGACTGTTACCGCACATCACTGTTGCTGATTACCGTGGACTAACGTTAGCAGTGACTAGCACTGATTGGGAAAGCCAGCTGGGAGCCGTCTAAAGCCTGGACACAAACATCTCGCTGATACCGGTTAGCTCAGGGCACAAATAACACACATAACATAACATTTCTGTAGTAACTGCTTTATTACATGAACCCGCTACAACATTATTATACCGCATAACAAGCGTTTTATTGTTCTCGAACTACCTAGTGTGGTGTGTTGTTTCCAGAGAGTAGCCGAAGCCCACGCAGCTATTGTCATTAGCTCCAGGAAACGTTAGCCGGCGAAGCTAACTTGGAGTCTTTGTGTGTTTGACTTGTGTTTAATTATTGTTGTTTAGCTCATGGTTGTGTGTCTTCCTGCGAGGACAGTCTGGGCTGGTTTTAAACAGAACTAATGTATTAAGACTCCTGTTGACTTGTGAAAACAAAGATGCGATGCTGGCAGAATCATTTACTGAAGACATTTGTCAACAAATACAAGAAGCAGCTGATGTGGCATTAGCACATAACAGCTCAGAGCATCACAGCAGGACTTGTATTATAATCACTACTCATATGTGCAGCTTTGACACTTTTTGTACTGTAAGTTTAAAAGTAGTTAACTTAAAATATGTATCGATTACGTATTGAAATGTATTGACCGCAAAGATTTAATTGCATGTTTTAGTCTAAAACTTATTTAGATATTTTTTACTTCATGTTTTAAAAATGCAATTCAGTGAAAGAAACAAAGTTTTAGATTCATCTCTGCTAAAGCAGTCTCAATCACTGCTAATGAACACCCACCTTTAAAAGATCAAAGAAGTGAGAAACATTTGTTTTGCTTCATAACTACCAAGATATTTTCAGCTGACTTGTCACCATTAAAAGCTGGGTGTGAGAAACTCTTCTGACATCTTGACAGCATTGCTTTTCAAGCTCAACAGTACATTATATTCAGTCGTTTTAGATGTTTTGTCTCCATGCAGCTGCTAGTCTGAGTATCCTAACATTTTCTGGCAATTGTTCAAGTCTTCTTTAAGGGTGTGCTGTAAATAAATAAAACAGGTCACACAGCAGAAGTGGAACTTCGTCCACTCTTGTGGTTTTTAATGTCTGGTTCTTAGATTTGTCACATTTCTTATGCAACCCTGAAGCAGTTCTGTGAGCAGACTTCAACAGTTTTGCCTAATCTTTACTTTAACCTAATGTCACCTTTTATAAACAGCTGAATTGGAAGACTTAAGTGCTTTTGTTGTCAGTTTAGTGTTGCTGTCCTCTGTTTGAGGTTTTATTCCTGACTTGTTGTAAAACTTTCGCTGCTGCTTTTCTGTGGAGATGAGTTTGAAATTTAAAGAGCTGCCTTTCCTTATGCTGACATTAACCTAACCGGCTTATTGGTTGGAAATCCAAACACTGCTCTGGACTAAATTGTTTTTTTTTATTCTGAAAATAATGCACAATTTAAAACAACAAAAAAGTGTAATTTAGTTTCTAAATCCAGCACTACTTTTTAAAAAGCGGAGTTTACTAATTGTCACAATTAAATATTTCTGTCACCTTGGAACAAAAACATACATTTTTACACATTTGTTTATGTGATGTTCGTGCGTCATTCTGCTGGTGTTTAGTTGTGATTTAGATTTTCTTTTACTATTTGCACTATAAATTCACCAGAGTTAGATGCCAAAGTCTGATTTTAGAGGTTTTATGTTTATTACTGCTTTGGCAACTTTTTTTTTTTTTTACTGAAAATCTCAATGTTTTTGTAGATGGAGAATTATTGCAAAAATTAAGAATCATTTAAGACTAGGGATGTTCAATATTTTATGAGCCAATATAACCTAACTCTTAATTTCTGCATGGTCCTCCTCATAAAAAACAAAAATAGGTAATTTTAGATAACCAACATCATCGTGTATCATGCACTATTAAACTTTAAATGTTATCTGTGGAAAATATGACTACTTCAGTTTAAAGGTGTGGTTCACTTGTTTAATCGATACATTTGCAGTTTGGGGGGTGCACCCGTGCACCATTTCCAGGAACTAGCAGTGACCCACATCATAGCTGAGCTTCAGACGGCAGGTTTTGGAGTCTTATTTCCTGATATTTGGACACCTTGCCTCGGATTGGATAACAGCAACGTGACTCTACCACTGACTTGCAACGTGGATGTTTTATCTCCTTAACTCATTCACTGCCAGCCGTTTCCTGACCAGAAAAGCCCTTCGCTGCCAGCGTTTTTACTGTTTTTTAGTCACAGAACATTGCGCTCAATGATGTCAACGCCAAAACTGCCAAAACAAAGGGTAGACTCACCTCTCACATCAAGAAGAATCCGTGCGTTTCGAGTGTTATCTGTTCTTTCATAATCCGTTGTCGAATTGTGATCGGTTCTTTTTCCGGTTTGCGTCTCACTTTTTTTACAGCTGCGGCCCAAAACAGTCTCCTAACACATGGATTTTCTGCCTCCTGATCGCATGACGTGTGATGTTCACAGATGACGATCGGGCTTTAGAGCTGGGATGTTTGTTCTTACGGTGCAGGAGCTCGTTCTGATGCCCACACAGTAAAAAAATGCAAATGACGACTTGGCAGTGAACGGTTGAATTTAAAAAGAGGACTTTTATCATCAATGGCAGTTAACGAGTTAAATACAACAAGCCTGGAAGAGCTTCTGCCATTTGGTGGAGTTGCTAATGCTCAGAGGTGTGACCAAGTCACTGCTTTGCAAGTCACAAGTAAGTCACAAATCTTTTCAGTCAAGTCTCGAGTCAAGTCCAAGTAAAAGACAACCAAGTCAAGTCCAAGTCCAACTTTGAATGTTCAAGTAATAATCAAGTCATCTGTCCAACTTCAATTTAATGACGATGATAATAAATAAATTCTAGAAATAAAGCTTCTTAAAGCTTCATTTATTTTCTCAAACAAGCAGAAAGTGCAACTGAAACTGATTCTAAACAAAGTGCTGCTGCATTTAGCAGTACAAGATCAAACCCAGAACGAAGAATGATTAAGGATTTTTGTCCATGTCGTGCCACTTTTGTGCTAAAATATCAAATATGCTCAAGTCATCATCAAGTCAACAGATGCAAGTCCATTCAAGTCACAAGTCATTGC